ACACCCTACTCACCATGAATTATGTCACAAGTTATTCCAGGTAGACTGTCTTTCTTACTTTTATCTGTGTCCCTCTAGTCCCCTTTCAGTCCCATCAGAGCACCTTTTATATAGTGACTTCTTGAGCAGTGCTTCTTGAACTGGATCACTTATAGTAAACCACCATTGTTTTAGACAAACTTCCTTTTTTCTACCACTTTTGTACTGATTGAGAAAATCACAAGTGACTGAGCTTTTTTTTCCAACCAAAGAGAATAAGAGATACAATGTGTGGTTATCAAAGACTGGACATTTTACTTTATTATTTTTTAATGTTTTATTTATATTTGAGAGAGAAAGAGACAGAGAGCGAGTGGGGAAGGGGCAGAGAGACGGAGACAGAATCTAAAGCAGGCTCCAGGCTCCAAGCTGTGAGCTGTCGGCACAGAGCCTGACATGGGGCTCGAACTCACAAGCAGTGAGATCATGACCTGAGCTGAAGTTGGACACTTAACTGACTGAGCCACCCAGGTGCCCCAAAACACTGGACATTTTAATGGTGCCCTTTTAACTGGTTTATTTTTGTATGAAATGTGAGGAATACAGATTCAGATGTAAAAAATGTCACAAATTGAAAACAGTTGAAGAAGCGAGTTTTATGAAATCAGTTTAATGCCACTAAGGGTGAAATAAGAGAAAAAGAGAATAGGCCTATGAATTAAGTCCACATTGGTGTGCTTGTGGTCTCCTCTAGGATTTCCTGGAGCCCTGTAGACCTTATTCACCACCCACATATACATATATAAAAATATACCATCTATAAATAGCCATTTGCCTTTTCAGTGAAATTAAAGATGGGAGAGTTAGAAGAGAATTTCCCAGTATAATTACAGGGCTCAAACCTACAGCTGCTGTCCTCCTATAGTTCTCCCCAAAGAATTTCTAATATCACTATTTTTTATCAAGAGCACTTAAAAAATTGTTTAATTACAAAATGTTGTCAACAGCACATTTATTTATTGCCATAATTTCCCACATACCCACTTAAAAATATTACGTGTTACGTAGGATTATTGTGTAGAATAATTTTGGTTTATAAACTACAAAAAATTCTCACAAGTGTTTCTGCTCCTTATCTAGGGATTAACACCAAACTGCTGCCAATGTTTTAAACTCTACACATGCCCTTTCACAAGCACTCTCTCTCACATATTTTCTGCTAAGATGTGCCTCTTTAAAAATCCATGAGCTTCTAAAATTCTTAGGTAAGAGTCAACTGTGTAAGGATGCATCCCAATGTGAAAAGAATTAAACCGAACACTTTTATCTTTGCTTACAAAAAAAGCAGGTAGTAATTTATTCATACACAGTCTTTGTTCCCTCACTAAAGACCAACGCTCTTCAATCTTTGGGCGTCCTTCAGGATGAAGCAGCTCTGAAAAGAGTAAGGGGACACATTTATAGCAGTCACACTGCTCTACCCACACAAGGGTCTAAGTGCCTTTAGCAGTTAATTTGTGAGCAAAAAACCCCATTGGGAGCCTTCCACCTACTCTAAAAGCAAACATTCTTAACAGGCGGTATTAGTGTGGTGTTAAAAGAGGCATGCTTTAACCTAAAAGGTGTCATTTTATGAGCAAAAACTGGATAAACCTAAAGAGACTTTAAGTCGCTATTTTTTTCCTTCCTTGAAGCCAAAATCTTCACAGATTCAGATGACCTCACACTCATTGTGATGTTCAAAACCCAGGAGGATCTTAAAAGATGCTCTGCACAGAGTGCAGCGGTGTGGCTCCCTCCTCCCGGTGAGGACTGTCATTGGTTTTCCTTCTGCGTGTTTGTAAAACACGCCAGCCATGTGAGCAAGCCTGTTAATTAAAACAAAAACGGAACTGTTTCTGTTGAGCTTTAGAACTACAGAAGCTTAGAGCTGAAGTGGGGAAGGAGAAATAGCAGCGTCCAGTCTGCTGCTGGGTCTTGATGGCTGTCCAAGAATGGAGCGACTGTTAGGAAAAGCCAGAAAATAGGCACCTGATTTAAAGAAGAGAGAAGAGTGGAAAAAAAAAAAAATTAAAGCTAGTGAGGCTCTTGGAATTGGAAGTATTTAGAATGCCTTTATCATTTCCCTGAGGGACTGTTTAATATCAAAGTGCCTGGTTAGGAAGGCTTCTCAGTCTAATCTGATTCCAAAGTTAGCCTCTCAGACCAGAGAAAAGAATAGCTTCAGTGGCTTGAGGCCATCCTGGGGTCAGGCATGGAGTCTATTCCTGCCGGAGCTGCTGAGTCACTGCCACCTCGGGGAATCACTTGACCTCTGGTTTGGTTGACCTAGAAGGTAGAGTGAAGCCTACAGCTGAGAAGCCTCCATACTAAAGGCCCTTGCTATTAACTGGAATCATCTGACCAGCCTCCTGAACCCAAAGGATTTAAGAATTAACAAATTAGGTAAGGTGTATTAGAATACAAAAACATCAATTAAAAAGACACACACACACACACGAAGAACTCACTGAATTCTTCCCAAGAAAAACATCACCAGAAAAGCAGACCAAAAATATTTTCTAGTCCTCTTTCAAATATGTTCTGCATCTCTGAAGGGTCAGATAGCACCTCTCTAAAAGATGCTTATTCTGTACCTTCAGTAAGTTAATAAGTTATCCAAAGCAAGATGTGAAAAGGCTTAGGGTTGTGTGGAAGGTAGTAGGCAGGAAGCAGCAACAACAGGAAAAAAAAATTAAAGGACAGATAAAGCATTCATTACACTATATTTTAAAAGGCAATAAGACTTCACTAATATAGAACATCTACGTGACAGATCCAATGGTGTCCCTCCACACCTTCTTTTCATAACACAAAATTCTGTTCTTTAGCTTAAATATATATAGAAATCGTAAACTAAACATTCACTTTGTATTAAAAAAATTTATTTTGTGATCTGTACATGTGATAAAGTGGGGCTTCCTTGTAGACTTTTAAAGGAAAAACAAAACAAAAACCCAAAGTAAAAATGTATAAATACAATATATATTTTCTTACAAAAATGGGAGATTTACAAAATATACATACTGCACTTGTCTCTATTTTACAAATTTCACATGCAAGAGATATAACACAAAAGATGCCAAAAAACTGTATAGTGGGAGTTTTAAATCTGACAAATGAGACCATTTTGGAAGTTTAAGAAACACAAGGTTGATGTTAACTTTAATATAAAAAGCAGCTCCACTCAAGTGAACATTACATATATAAAGTAACTTGTACTCCTGACAGTACCCTCTCTGATCTGAAAACTGTTTAAAACAGCATTTAAAACTTGTTTTGAGAAATAGGATAGTGTTGCAAGATTGGAGGGTGGTGTCAAAGGTGGAGTAAAGGTTAGCTCCCATGATTCTCTGCTCAGCTTTAGAGCATTATGCAAAAGAATCAGAGTTCTATTATAGAAAAAAAAAAGTACATGATTTAAGATTAATAAATTTAAGTCATGCAGCACATTTCAAAGAACTCCAGAATTACTTTGAAGTTTACCTTCTTTTAATGACTTTCCTTAAAAATGGGACCCATGGTTTGAATTGTCGGCTTCGTTCATTATCATTTCTGTAGGTCACCTCCCCACCCAGCCACACAAAAACAGGGTCAGCATACACATGATGTTTTATAAACGGATTTATGGAACTCAGAAAACAGGACAAAAATGGTTCTTTACTTAAAAAAAATTTTTTTAACTTCTTTATTATGGAGGCTGAGGGTATTATTCTTTTCCTTTTATCTTGAAGGATTCAAATTGGAAGAAAATAGAAAACCTAAATGTAGGTTTATAGGAAGAAAAAAAAAATAAAGGGAGAGATTTCCCTGAACATTTTAACAGAGCCTGTAGACAGGATCATGTGTTCTGAATTAAATTTATTTAAAACAAATACAACAAAACCCCTTGCATTTTCCTTTAGCCGAATCAGAACCTCTGCCTGATTGGGGTATGGGAGCACACTGCCCTTCACTTTTCCTTAAAAAGGAATGTTTATCTCAGCCAAATTAACATCCAAAAGGAAACCTCTGATTTGTGCTACTTTGCCTATAAAAGTTGCTGTCTTCACAGTTATGCCTTTCCAAAGGGAGACACTTTTGTTTCCTCTTTTGTCTCTTACAACAAAGACAAGGGGAAAAATGCACTCCTGTTTTGAAAAGCAACAAGTCATTACTTCTTTTCAGAGTATTAAACCAAATAAAACACCCTTCTTTCTTCCTTCTGCCTTCTGCAGGAAATAAAAAAGTAGCAGAAATACCTACTACTCGTCTCCTTTGCCTCATCTCGAAATGTTATCTTCATTTCTTTGCATCCTCACATTAGGATTCGAGGAGGCAAGCCTCTCAAGACTTCCAAATGCTTATTTTACAAGAACTTGAAAGGCGTAGGAGAGGAAAAACAGGCGGGAGGGGCCAGGGGAGGAGAGCCTGTAATGTCTGACCCTGGAAATTAACCCATCTGGGCTCCAGTTTGGCCCCAGTGAAAGGAGATTATGGTTTGACCACCGCTTGACAAGGACACCGCAGGGAGTCCTCCCTTTTCCCAACAAAGCCGCCGCCGCAGACAGAGCTGTACCTTTCACCCGGGCCTCACAGGAGTGAGGACAGGCCACTTGTCTTGCAGCAGGGGAACCGCTCACAGTCCCAGTTCAGCCCTGGAGCCGGGAAGAACTCAGAGCAATCTCTGCTGGGTTCAATCTTGATAGACCCCGGTCGGCCCATACCGTACGTGATTAGCATCATCGTTATCATCATCATCATGATCATCATCCTGAAAGTCTTTGCCAGAAGTCTTTTCATTCAAACCGTTTTTCCACCCAGACCTCCTTACCCAAACACACCCCTCGTCCCAAATCTACATATCTCATCTCTCTTCCAGGTCCCTTCTCCTTGGAGGGCAAGGAGGTTACAGACACCCCCCACCCCAGCAGTTCTCTCCTTCCCGTGCCTCTCCCCCTCGGAGGGGATGGGGGAAGGGAGGGTGGGGGAGGGGCCGGGGCTCATACCGCAGTCTCCCCCTTGCTGCTGTGGCTGAGTCTGTGATAGAAGCGGCGCCACGACTGCAGAGTCTTGCCGGACCAGATCCAGAAGCCAGTGGTGATGCCCACGATCATGGTCATCAGGTACTTGATCATGAAGACAGTGAAGTCAGGGCTCATGGGCGGGAAATGGCCAGGCGGGCAGGGCACCGCGTAGCTCTTGCAAGTCTGCAGGAGCCAGGTGCGCTCCCAGTGTTCGCGGAAGGCCTGCTCATAGAAGTAGCAGGCCAGGACGATGGTCGCCGGCACAGTGTAAAGCACGCTGAAGACGCCGATGCGCACCATAAGCTTCTCCAGTTTCTCGGTCTTGGTTCCGTCGTGCTTCATGATGGTGCGGATGCGGAAGAGCGACACGAAGCCGGCCAGCAGGAAGGACGTGCCAATGAAGAGGTAGACGAACAGAGGCGCCAACACGAAGCCTCGCAGCGCATCCACGCTGGACAGGCCCACGTAGCAAACCCCACTGAGCAAGTCCCCATCCACCTGGCCCATGGCCAAGATGGTGATGGTCTTGACAGCGGGCACGGCCCACGCGGCCAGGTGGAAATACTGAGAGTTGGCTTCAATGGCCTCATGGCCCCACTTCATGCCAGCTGCCAGGAACCAAGTGAGCGACAGGATGACCCACCAGATGGAACTGGCCATGCCGAAGAAGTACAGCACCATGAAGAGGATAGTGCAACCCTCCTTCTTGGTGCCCTGCGCCACCGTGCGGTAGCCGTCTTCTGAGAAGCGCTCCACGCACACCGCGCGGTCCTCCAGCAGGAAGCCGGCCACGTGCGCCACGGCCACCATGAAGTAGCAGCCCGACAGAAAGATGATGGGCCGCTCGGGATAGCTGAAGCGCCTCATGTCCACTAAATAGGTGAGCACGGTGAAGAGCGTCGAGGCGCAGCACAGCACCGACCACACGCCCACCCAGAGACGGGCAAAGCGCCTCTCCTCTTCCTTAAAGTACATTAGGCCGTTGGCACGGCCCGGCTCGCACGGGGCGCCGCAGTCGCGCTCGCCCAGGAAGCGGTAGCCCAGGTAGGGGGGCACCTTGAGCTGGCGGGGGCAAGAGAAGGGGAAGGCAGAACGGCCCCTGCCGTCAGCGGCCCCCGGGGGCAGCGCGGTGAAGGGCAAGTCCGGCATGTAGGGCGCGGTGGGGTAGGCTGTGGGGCCGCCACCTGGGCCCCCGGAGCCGTCCGACGTGTTCTGGCCCACGCAGATCTCGCCGGCGCCGTGCACCGGGAAGTTCTCGCAGCGCAGCCGCTCTGGCCACTGGAAGCCGAACTTGTTCATGAGCGCTTCGCAGCCCTGGCGGGCACGCTCGCACAGAGAACGGCACGGCGGGATGGCCTGATCAAGCACCGTGCACACGGGTGCGTACATAGAGCACAGGAAGAAGCGCAACTCGGGAGAACACTGCACCTTCACCAGCGGGTAGAACTGGTGTACCTCGAGGCCCGCGTCCTCTTGATTCGTGTGGCCTAGCAGGTTGGGCAGGATGGTCTGGTTGTAGGCAATGTCCGTGCATAGTGGGATGGAGATGGGCTGGCAGAAGCCGTGGTCCGGTACCGAGATGCCCTTCTCGCCGTGGTAAGGCTGCGCCCCGGCACCGGCGGGCAGCGCGCCCAGCAGCGCAAGCACTAGAGTGCACAGGCCCAGGGGCGACGCGGCCGCGCCGGGGCCCCGCATCGCCGGCCACGGGTGCAGCGGCGCTCTCAGCCGGAGGAGCGCGACGAGGCAGCCGAGAGAGGCTTGGACCTGGGGAGGCGCGGCCGCGCCCGGCTCATGAGAGTCCTCCCGGCGCCGGGGCCGGGCCGTGGGCGGCGCGGAGCTGAGGGCGCTGCAGCTGGGGTGCCCGCGCCGCGTGGGCGCCGCAGCCGTCTCCGCCCAGCACTCGATCAGTCGCGGGGAGCCCAAACTCGTCTGCCTGGGCCGGGGGCGCCAAGGGGGGCGGCCTTCTCCCGCCGCGACGTAACGGTGTGGCTTTTTCTGCGGCGAGGAGCAACAAGCGTCTCCGGTTACCCTTCAAACTTCGCTCAAGTCTCTCGACCCACAGCGCACAGTAACGCACGCGCCCCCCACACCAAGTCTGGCCCGGGGCAGCCGAGAGCCCGGCGCCGCCGCCTGCTAGCCGAGGCCGCCTCCTCGGCGGTGCTGCTCCGCCTCCTCGCCTCCAGGCTCTGCTCGCCGCCGCCTCCTCCGCGTCTCCTTTTCTACTCCCCCGCTCCTTCTTCAGCCCCAAAAGCTCGGCCCCCAAGTTTGTGCCAAACGGATGATTCTCGTTCTGAGTCCGATAGGCGCCTTAGAGCCAAGAGCTCAGCTAGTTCTTTTTGGAAATCCAATTATACTGCGTCCCGAAGCTGCGAGGGCCCTATGCCCGCGGCCTGGGCCTGGCCTCTCCAGCCTCGCGAAGCCCTGGCCCGTGAATCCCAACGCCCGCCGCCGCCGCCCGCCGGGAGGGAGCGCAGAGTAACGCCTCGGAGTCGCGCAACTCGCCAGAAGAAGCGTCGGGCTCGCAGGGTTCCGGGCCGCCCCGCCCCCTCCCCTCCCCCCATTCACAAACCACTCCGGGGGCGGGCCCTCGAGCTCCAGGGCGGCCCAATGGTAGCCTTTGTTTTCTGTGCGGCGGCCTCCGGATTGGGTGGAAGTCGGAAGGGCCGGGCGAGGGAACCGGAGAGGCGGAGTTTGCAGCGCTCTGGGCGGATTCCTGAGGGGAGGGGCAGGGGGCTGGGACGGAAAAGTTAAGAAAAACTTTTACGGTGAATTCGCTCGAGGGTGGGGGGCGGGGGGGGTAAACGCGCCAGAAAGGGAATTTGCTTTAAAGATTTGTTCCTCTTCCGGGTACACTAAAATACACATTTTCGAACCGGAGGGCGCACGGAGAGAGGCTTTTGCTGGGAGAAGCTGAGAATAGCGCAGCGCCTCAGCGGAGAGACTTGACCCGGAGTCACGTTAGAACTGCCAGAGCTGAAAATGCGGGGTTTGGCAGGGGACTTTTGGGTATCTGGATCCTAAGTGTGGGGTTCGGTACCGAGCGAGAAGGGGGTGCGTCTCGCAGATCGCTTTTTTCTCCCCAGACCCAAACCGACCACGTGAGGCCACAGTCTCTCTCACTCCCTCTCCCCGGCTGTAAAAAGGAGGAGGGGCCGCGTGCGTGGAGAAATAGGAGTCGGGAGGAGGGGGCCGACTTAAGGCGGGAGGAAGTGCAGACCCCACCGAGGAGTGGGGGCCCGGGAGCGGCGGGCGTGGGGGACCCGGGCCCCCAGTCCACCTCTCCCGCGCGTACGGCTCAAAGTCTAGAAATCTGGTATGGTTTTAGTGCGGTTATGAGAAAACTAAGACAGTGTTGTGGGGGAATGGTTATAAAAGTACCTGAGACTGAATCCCCAGGAACACTCTGTATGGTTTAAAGTGAGCCTTCGATTGCGGTGCTTTCCTTAGTTCTTCGGCATGTGGCCATTCGGGATCCCCTCCACGATGCAGAGGCAACGACTTGATCCTCTAGTTGAAATGTGCGTAGAAAAGTTTTAATGCGCGTTAGAAACCAGGGGATTTGCTAATTAAGGAGTTTTCAAAACACAAAGAGAGGTTATACGTGTTCTCCGGTGGCGTTTTCTGATTGGCAAGCAATCTTTTGTTCCCCGGTCAAAGCTTCGCCCTGCTCACCGCACTGGCGCTCCCGTGCGCTCTCCGGTTAGTTCCGGCGAAGTCAGAATTTACTGGGGGGAGGGGGGGGGTGGTGGTGGAGGCTCTCCTCTCTGGGCAGCAAAGAATATCCTGAATTCCCGTGCAGGAAACTGACATGTTGAGAAAGGAAAAATCTGTCTCTCGCTCACCGTCACACACACACACACACACACACACACACACACACACACACACACACACAGAGGCACGCACACACACGGATCAATACTGTGCTCAAGAAAACGTTACTCCTGGCTGAGCCTTTCCTTCTGCCAGTCTCAGGTCCAAGGCGCTGGAACCCTGAGGGATTTCTGATCAGGCTGTTTATTTGCAGAAGTTCCTGCCTCTGCTGCCTCCCGTGAGCTTCTTCTCCAGCAATTAAAAAATGGTTCTGAAATCTAAGACAATTAATTGGGTTCCCTTCCGTGGGGGGACTTCGGTTTCCTCTGTTTTTCTTTTATTTATTTTCTATTACTGAAGTTTACTGAGCATCTTACCTTCCATTTCACAATTCTTTGTCGTTTCCCACTCTTGTTAATGGATCTGGGGAGCTGAATCATTTGGGCCATGATGTTAGACTGCTCACATTCTCCATCCGCCCCTCAACAGAAGTCCTTATATTTTTTTCTTCCAAAGCATCAGTTTCCTTCTCACACCCAGGACCTTATTGGTTTTCTTTTGGGTTATCTGCCTCAAGGTAATACAAAGGATTAATGACATTTACTTTAAAAAACAGTTTATTCCTTCCTTGTATTTTTTTAAAAGCTCCTCTTTTTCTTTCTAAATTATTATTCTTACTACCTAACATTGGGGAGCATTGATACTGCCTTGAAAGATGTTGTTTAAAGACAATGCTGCTGCTTTGCTTTGTCATTTAAAGTGTGTGTGGTAGGGGGTTGGAAATCCTTTTTTCTCTCTGTGAGCTTCTGGATATCCTCCTTTTCTAAATCAAATTTTCATGCTTATTCATCAGGCCACTGATCTAAGTCATCTTTGCTTATTGAGGGAGAAATTGCAAGCACTGTCATCAAATAAAATGAAAACCGACAGGATAAAATACTGTATCTCAAATACAGCTAAAACCAGTTTAGTTGATGAGTTTTTACTTCCCATATTATAGCCCCAGACAGCTTGCTGATGAAAGGTAATAGGGATAATTATTTAGAAAGAAAAAAGGAGAACCCTGTAAGAAATTACAAGGGGTGAATGGAATATTTTAAAAACAGTCTATGCATAAGATGCAGAAAGCCAATCCCAATGGAAAGCATCACAGATGTCTTGTTTCTCTGTCCCAGGAAAACAAGTGCAAAAAGCATAAAAGCAAAGACTAATTGTTTTGGAGAGTATTTTGTTTTTTAAAATGATTTTTAAAAACCCACTCCAAAATTATTCTGAAAAATAAGGATTTGCTGTTTCTGAGAGGGGTGTGGTAGCTGTCCATGCCTTGCCTGATACAGAATGCTATGATTTCAAAGAGCTAAGTAATAAAAGAGAGTAGATCCGAAAAGGAGGTTCACAATGTAGGGGGCTAAATAAATAGTGTGTGTTAGGCTCTACGGTAAGTGTAGTAACATTGGTTCATATTCTCTCCAGGATCAATTTAATTTTCTTTTCCAAGCAACTCTTTCCACACCCAACTCCCAAAGCCACTAACTGGTATCATCTTTGGAGAGCTAAGGGTGGAAAATTTTGTAACTGTCTGCTGCAAAACTTCCAATTGTCCCTGCCCTTTAAAATAACAAAGGCTTTTATTTCTTCACATCATAGTCATATGGTCTTACAGAAAAGTGATGGTATTCATTGGATCCAGTTATTTAAATGCTACTTATCTTGGCCAAGTCCCAGGTTTATCTAGTTGAATTACATTCTGATGTCAGGCCAGATTAGCAAATGGCCACCTTCATGGTGCCACTATCCTGTCTGTGGTTGTAGTGAAACTCCAGCTGCAAGAATTACTCATGCAAGACGAGAAAGGGCAGCTTTTAGCCTATATGTTCCTTTTGGCCTCTCTTTTATCCATTTTTGACTTTATAACATTAAGGACTTGGAATTTCAAGTTGCCAGATTGACATTGAATTCCTTTCATTTTAGTTTGGGGTGTTGGATCATTCCCAGAATGGGAATGTTCTTACCCTAAGCAGACTTTCAAGTGTAATGAAAGTGAGAGATGTCTAGATTGAATAAAAGGAAGTCTATGCTGAAGTCCTGATAAATGTGCTAGTCCCCACCCAGTAGAGATGATTCATATCATTCAATCTGTTTGACCATTTCTCTTGTTGCTTGAGGCTTGCATTAGTTATCTATTGTTGTATAACAAATTACCCCCAAACTTAGCAGCTTAAAACAACAGACACTTAATATTTCACAGTTTCTGTGTACTGGGAACCTGGATGTGCTTAGCTGGGTCCCCTGGCCCTCTGGCTTGGGATTGCTCATGGAACTGCAATTAGGGCGCTGGTGGGGCTACAGTTACCTCACAGTTCGACTGGAGGAGGATCCACTTCCAAACTCACTCATGTGGCTATTGGCAGGCCTCAGAGTATCCATTTCCAAGGTCATTACATGGCTATTGGCAGGCCTCAGGTTCTCACTAGCTGTTGGCCAAAGACATCAGTTCCTTGCCTTGTGGGCCTCTCATAAGACCACTTATAACATGGCACCTTGCTCCCCCAGAACAGGTGCTGTGAGAAAGAGGGAGGGAGGGAGAGAGAGCAAGAGGGAGAGAAGATGACAATCAAGATGGAAGTCACAGTCTTTCTGTAATCTTAGAAGTGACATCCTGGGATGCCTGGGTGGCTCAGTTGGTTGAGCATCCGACTTTGGCTCAGGTCATGATCTCATGGCTTGTGAGTTCGGGCCCTGCATTGGACTCTGTGCTGACAGCTCAGAGCCTGGAACCTGCTTCAAATTCTGTGTCTCCTCTCTCTGCTCCTCCCCTGCTCACTCTCTCTCTCTCTCTCTCAAAAAAAAAAAATAGATAAACATTAAAAAAATAAAGAAGT